TGCGGTTTCCCCGCTCCGATTGCTTCCTGAGCCGCCCGCCAAGCCGGAAGGGACAGGAAGCGATAGAGGGGAGGAAATTATTCGAGCTGTCTCACGGGGAGCCAGGCTGGTGTATGGGGGGCTCTGCCATTGCCCTGTCCCCAGTGCACTCTGGGGTCCCTTTGGAGTGAAGGTGGCTGATAGTCCCTGGCAGGGAGGTGCAAACCTGGGTGGGACAGGGCAGAGCGGCCGCTCTTCCCTTCCGTTCCCAAGCTAGGGGATCCCTCACTGCAGCCCGAGAGCTGTTTGCAAGAGGAGCACGATGTAAACAAACTTCCTTCCATTGCCCTCCCCACCGAGCGGGGTCTTGCTTGGCTGCTGTCGCCTGGCTCAATGGGTGCTGGTTGTCCCTGGGATGACTGAACGCAACTTGGATTGTGTTCCCTGTGGGACTGTGGTAGGCTCTGGGGCACGGTGTTCCCAAAGGGTCCCTGGTCGAGCTGCCAAGGGGTCCAGGATTCCTGTGAGAAGCACTTGGCTATTGCAGGCAAAGCGCTGTTGGGTCGTGCTCAGCTGAGCTCCGTGCCTGGCGCTGGGGTCGGCAGGGGACAGGGCAGCATCTTCCCTGCTGTGTCGTGGTCTTGTTGGGGTCCCCTGGGAGCCCTGAGGTTTCTGGGTTTGCTCTGAAGGGCTCTCCAGGCTGGTGGCCGTGGCCGTGAGGGCAGCGTTTATCCAGGGCCTGTTCCCAGTGTCACGGTGTGGGCAGAGGCAGCAGCAGGAACACTGCCCTCAGCCAGTGGTCCCCTGCCTAACACGAGGAGCACGTTAACAAAGGCCTCTGCCTGCCTGCAGCCTGCTGTCAGCCCCCCCAGCAATGTTCGTGCTGAGCCCCATGGGCTGGGGAGGAGCTGGGGTGTGCAGGATCCTCAGCTTTAGAGTTTGCTCATTTGGGGTCTCACAGAGCGGGCTATGGGGGTCTGCAGACTCAGCACGAGGGGCGATGGGGGCTCCTTCTTTCCCCTCACCCCTGGGTGTGGATGCCACTGGTCATGGTGATGGGGAGGGCTGCCGGTGGCCTCGCAGTGCTGCGGCTGTGAAGGTGCAAGGTGAGCACTGCGCGGTGCCAGGCCTGCCCGGGCTTGTCCATGAACTTTTATCCTTTTGCTGTGGGGTCTGTGTGCAGGAGGGAGGGAGAAGGGCTGGATCCCTCCAGGCCTCCTGCACGGGAAGGTGGGATGGAGCTGGGATGCAGCCAGACCCCCCCACCTGGGGTCTGTTGTCCCACCAGTGTCCCCAGCACCGCAGGTGATCATCCTGTTGGGTGCTGGTAGTGCCCTGCCATGGGTTGGGGGAGCCCCCCTTAAGGAGGGAACCTTGGTACTGCTCTTGTCCCCTCAAAAATGGTCTCCACAGGGAACGCTCTGTGCTGCTGACCCCCTCGTGGGCAGATGCTGGTGGCCATGCCCTGAGTCCCTGGTGGACTGTGGCAATAGCATCGCAAAGGGCAATGCTGGACCCAGAGATAGGTGACACAGCCACCAGCCACGGAGGTCAGGGGTGGCTGGGGTAACGCTTTTGGGGCTGAGCACACTGGGGGAGAGGAATACCCCATTCCCCCCATCTTGGTGGCATGGGACAAAGATGGGGACAGGGAGCTCCCCATACCCGGGGGCTTTGTGGGGCTGACAGCCTTGTGGCCCTGCAGCCCTCAGCAGTGATGTCCCCGTGCTCCCATTGCTCTCCCCTGCACTGATCCCTATCGTGGCTGGTTGTGCTGGTCCCGGCAGCACCCTGCTCCTGAGCTCGGCACCCGCACCCAGCCCCAGCGGGTGCCCACCGACCGCTCTGACCACAGACCCTGCCTCCACAAGATTTCCTTCCCGCCACCCAGCAGAAAACACCCTGTCTGAAGCAGCCTTCCCCTGTGCAACCTCCCCTTTGCTTTTGCAGGGGTTAAAGAGGCTTCTTGTGGCTTTTCCAGGCTCTGCAGCCCTCAGCAGCTCTCCCTGACCTGCACAACGGTCTGCGTCACACCCCCACACATGGTGCCAGGGCCAAGCACTGTGATCCTGTGGGAACACCATCCCCTGGCACAGCCTTGGCCTTGCAGGGAGATAAGGGCTTCCCCGGCAACATCCTCCCCTGCCTGTTGTGTGCACCCATCCTGCCACGACTGCGGGACCTTGCAAGGGTGCAGCCCCCTTCCAGCACCCACTAAAAGCCTTGGACTGGAGCATGGTACCCCACAGAGGCATGGGAAGAGGGAGCTGGACGTGGGGGGGTGGTCCCCCTGGTGTGACTGCCAGCCAGTATCCCTGCTTATGGGGGCAAGCATCCCCATGGTGGGGCAAGCATTCCCATGGGAGGTGAGCATCCCCATGGGGGTGAGCATCCCCACCACAGGTCAGTGGTCCTGGGGTCCCCAAGCCCTGCAGAGGTGCCTGCACCACGGGAGGGGTTTTGTCCCCCGGTGCCTGGGGAGCAGCCGAAGGCAGGAGCTGGTGGCATGTTTCCCAGCAGGTCCGGTCACCTCCCTGCCCGGAGCAGGTCTGGCCGGTGGTCCCTCCGCAGCCCGTCCAGCCACACCAGTTTCCTAATTGCTGCTGTTGGTGGTGTTTTGTAAGGGCAGGGTGGAGCGCGGCCCTGGCCGTGCCTTGCGTCAGCGCAGCGCCTTGCACACTCCCTCCAGGAAATCCAGTGTCTCAGCCCAGCCGAAAGCAGGTTCGGTGGAAGAGGAGGAGGAGGAGGAGGAGGAGGAGGAGGAGCTGCTTCCTCGCACCTTGGCAGGAACCCCGGCATCACGCTCCCTCCTCTCCTGGCTTCCCTGCAAAGGCTGGGCTGGGATTTTCCTGCTGCGGGGGGAGCAATGGAGTGGGAAGGGGCTGGGGAGCTCTGGGCTGGGGGACGTGAGCTGGAACCCTGCCTGTACCTGCAGCGTCTGGCACAGGGACGGTGACCCAGGGCACTGGTCATGCTGCTTGATCCAGGATCATGCCTGCATTGGTGCAACCAGCCCCATAGATCTGCTTGCAGACCTATAGCTTTGTCCATGGCCCTATAGCTTTGCCTTTGGTCCTGTCGCTTGGCTATAAAAGCACCCTTCAGCTGGGGAGGACAGGGGGTCTGGTGGCTCCTCCTGGCAAAGCAAAGTCACCCCCAGCATTAGCTTTTGGGGTTTTCCCCTCTCGTGGTGCTGTAGGGTACTGGGATTCTGGGGGTCCTGGGCTGGTGCAGGCCTGTGGGGCCCAGGCCCCCATGGGCTCTGAGGGCTGCAGGGTCTTGGGCTGCTGTGCTGCAGCTGCGGGATCTCTGGTTCCCCTGTCTGGGGGTCCTGGTCTTCTGGGTGTTCTTGGGCTGCCACAGTGGAGCCAGGGCTCAGCACCCAGCGAGGCAGTTGTAGGTGCCACACTGGGACGGAGCCCTACTGCAGGGGAGGACCCACTGGGGCCATCTCCATGTGCTACCTGCATTATCCCTGCCTGGCACCTAGTGTCCTCTTATCCTCCTATATCCTGGACAGTCCACTCGGTTTGGGCAACACATCCCTCTGGAGGGCTGCCCTGTGGAGCAGCACGGCAGCAGGCACAGGATGCTGTGGGATTTGAGGTGCTGTTGGTGTGCTATGGGACTTGGGATAATGCTCAGGATTTTGTGAGACTTGGGGTGTTGTGGGACTTGAGGTGCCACAGGACTCGGTGTGCCATGGGATTTGGGGTGTCATGAGACTTGGAGTGCCATGGGACTCATGGTGCCGCAGAACTCAGTGTGCCATGGGACTTGGTGTGCTGTGGGACTTGGGATAACGACTGGGATGCGGCAGGACTTGGGATAATGATTGAGATGCTGTGTGACTTGGGATAACGGCGGGGGTGCGGTGGGACTTGGGGTGCTGTGGCACTCGGGATAACGTGGGACTCATCCTGCCACAGGGCGCTGCGGGACTCGGGTGCCCCGGGCCCATCCGGCACCGCCGCCGCCTTGGCCGCCTGGCTCCATCCTGCAATCCAGTTCTCCTTATTTGGCCACAGCGCTCGGCAAGAGGGGGAGCAGCAGGCGGGGGGACGGCGGCAGGGGCGGGCGGCAGGGACCAGGGCGGGGCTGACATCACATCAGGACGGGGGAAAGAGAGATGGGGACGGGATGGGGACGGGATTGGACGGGATGGGGGGGGGGGATTTCTTGTTTTATAAAAGGAAAAAATAAAAAAAAAAAGAGAAGAGAAGAGAGAAAAGAGAAGGGCTCCGGGCGCCGGAGCCAGCGGCGGCTCAGTTCCTTTAAAAGGAGATGTCTGCGCCGGAGACCTTTGTACACTCCCAGCCCGTCCGGGAAGCGCGGCGCAGGAGACACCTCTGCGCTCCCACCGCCCGCAGCTGCCGCCAAACATGTTATTGCAAAACAGTGCGCGGGGAGCCGGGCAAGGGCAGGAGGAGGAGGAGGAGGGGGGCTGAAGGCTCCCCAGCATCACCGCGGAGCGCCCGGGCAGAGCATCCTCAGGGCCGGGGGCCTCTCCCGGTGCCAGGGGTAGGGCTCTGGCACATGGTTCCCATTAAGGGGGTCTGGCTTGGAGCAGCCCAATGTCTCCTTTCACATCCCAGCTCTGCCTTTGCCAGCAGAGTGCGGGGTTTGGGGCTGGGGGCAGTTTTTGAGTGTGTGTGGGTGCTGGTGTGGGGCTGGGGCTCACAGGCTGTGGGGCTGCTGCTGCCCCGTCCTGAGGTGTCACCCATGGGCACCATGTGCCCAAGCTCCTCATGGATAATGCAGCATCTGGGCTGTTTCCTTCCCCAAATTTTCTAGTTTGACCCTGGGAGATCACTGGTGGCTTGGATTTGGGAGTACTCATAGAAATCAAGGCTCTGCCCCCAAGGAAAGCCTGTTTGTGGGTGTGATGCCTTGCACCAGGATGCTGCTCCCAGCTGTGGGTACAGCAGGGGACAGGGCCAGTGCTAGGAAATGACCTTCATGCTGTCACTGCAGCTCTAGTGAGGGTCTCTGGGTCTAACTGGTGTCCCTGTGTCCTGCAGGTTGTCGTGTGTCCGTGGGGGCTCGGGATCGGAGCCCAGAGCAGCCAGCACCATAGCGTCCAACAGCTGGAACGCCAGTGGCAGCCCCGGGGAGGGGCGGGAAGATGGCCAGGACGGCATGGACAAGAGTCTGGACAATGATGCCGAGGGTGTGTGGAGTCCGGACATCGAGCAGAGCTTCCAGGAGGCGCTGGCGATCTACCCCCCCTGCGGCCGGCGGAAAATCATCCTCTCGGATGAGGGCAAGATGTACGGTGAGTGATGGGGTGAAGCAAAACCTCCTGCCCCAAACCCACACTGGGGCATCACCTTCAAGCATCCCCCAACAGCAGAAGCAGCTACTCTGGGTGCATCCCAGAGCTGGACCAGGGAGGTGGCAGTGACCCGCATCCCCTCCCTCTGCCTGGCTCTCCCTCCTGCTCCCTCCCTCTCTCGGCCCTGCCGGAACGACTGGTTTGGTGAAGCCGTGGGGCAGGGAGCGGGTGCGGGACTGCGGGGCCAGCACCAGCCCTCCCGTTCCCGCGCGCCTCCGCATCGCTCCCAACCCTTCCCAACCGGACCTGGGGATGGGCAGCACCCTGTGGTGAGAGCCACCAGCCCACCCTGAGCCACCTGCACCTGGCTCAGCTGTCAGTGGCTTTGCTGGCAGCAGCAGGGCTGGTTGGCCCCACTGGTGCAATGAGTTTGGGAGTGCTCTCAGCCTAGTTTCTGGTGTCTCTTGGAACACTTCCGTCTTGGCAGCTCTGCAGTGGGGAGGAAGAGGATGAGGATGGATGATGTGGACAGGAGGTGATGCTGGCACGGGGTGTATGGTGCCACCAAAGAGCAGGGGAAGGTGTCATGGTGTCCCCGTCCCTCCTCCCCTCCACCTCCCATGTTGTCACCCCCAGGGCTGGTGACCTCGGGCATGGCTCACGATGTCACCATCACCCTGCAGTGCCAAAGGCTGGCACCTCCGTTCCCAGCCTCCAGAATCCACCCACCCAGGATGTCACTTGCCGTGGCTCACAGAGAAGGGCAAAGAGGCTGAGGCTTGGTGGTGATCACCGTGCCACTGTCCCCATCCCCAGCTCCCTGTGCCAGCCTGCTTGCTGGGGCCCCCAAAGCGGAGTGGGGGGGGTAGCACAGGGCTTCCCAAGCGGGTGCATTTTTTGGATTTCTCCGGGAATAGCTGAAGTGCCGCCGGGAGCCTGGCCCTAACGCCGAGCCCCGACCGGTTTTTCCAGCCTTTCGGAGACATCTGGCAGCTGCTTAAAGAGGCAGCGCCCCCCCCCCCCCCCCCCCCCCCCCCCGGCAGATCCTTTTCATCTCCCTCCACCCTCCCCAGCACCTCCCCACTCCAGGACCCCCAGCCAGTGGTGCTGAGCTTACTGGGGACCCCAAGAGCCACCGGTGGCACCGGCGATGCCAGCATCTGACATAAAGGTGCTTTGGGGCCGCTGCTTTCCACCACCCACCTCTTCTAGGGTGTCCCATGGGATGCCCATGGCCACAGCAGCCTGTGCCCCACTGATGCCAGCAAGCAGGTGGGAGCTGGGGGGCTGGGACTGGCCCCCGCTCTCCACTCGCTGCCCGCCGGGTTATTTTTAACGCAGCCCGTCCAACTGGTTCACGTGGTGGTGTCAGGGGAGAGGAATTTGGGGAATGTGGTAATTTGGAGGAGGACGTGCCCTCTCGGAGGGAATGGCACGAGCCCTGGTGAATCACGGGGGACAGGGACCGGCCTGGGTGAATCATGGGGGACAGGGACAGTACAGCCCGGGGTGGTGGCTGGGGCGAGGTGCGAGGCAGGATGGGTGCAGGAGGTGCTGGCTGCTGCCCACAGGAAGGCACCCACATTTATTTCCCTTATTTATTTATTTCCCATATTTATTTCATATATTTATTTCATATATTTTCCTTGGTCTGGGTAAGGAGAGGAAGAGACTCAGGAGCTGATGTGACCTGGAGGCTGCTGCAGGGCTGGGTACCCCCAGGCTGGGGCTCAGCACTGGATCCCCTCCACCCACACCCCATAGCAGGCATCATCTCCCTCAGCTTTGGAGGACACCCATGTGGCCTTTCCCTTTGTTAGGCACCGACGAGGCCAGGGCGCAGGCTGGGAATAGCAGCAGCAATGGGAGCTGTGCTCAGTGCTTCAGGGTGCCACTGGGATGCGCCCCATTGCCAGCACCCATCTCGAGCACAGCGCAGCCATCCCCTATGGCACCTGGCCCTGTCTGTCCCTGTGTGTGTCCCTCCTCCTCCAGGAAGTCCCAGTTGCTCCAGGGCTGGTTGTGCTGGAAGGATGGGGGGGGAGGGGGGGGGGGGGAGTGATCGTAGATCTACTTTTTAAGGGATGTATTTTTTTGAAGCCAAAACCCGCTCCAAGGGCATTTCGACAAGTTCCAACCGCGACCATCTGGTCCATGGAGCTCCATGTGGCGTTCCCGGCCGCCCCCGAGCGCGGGGGGCACGGCGGGGGGGGGCCGCGGCCGGCACAAGAAAGCTCCCGGCTGCTCTGACGTTCGAGCAGAGATTGGCCACAGCTGGCCCCCAAAATGTGGTGCAAAAGCAACTTCTGCTTCGAATTAGACCCGGGACGTTAGGAAATAGTGGTGGAAAGGCCAGCGCCAGCTTGCGAACGGGAAGCGGGGAGCCGGGGGGGGGCGCCCCAGGGTCCAGGTGGGAAGGGATGCAGGGAGCGGGTTCATGGGTCCTCTCAGGGTGCCCTGTCTGGGCTTTGAGGGGTCCGTGGAGACCCGTTTGGGGACAGGGCTGTGGTGGGGTCCGTGGGGGGCCGCTGTCACCCCCCTTGAGCCCCCTTGTGTTTGGGGGCTGCCAGACCCAGTGGGTGCCGCTGGCCTGGAGGGGTCTGGCCACGTCCCCTAGGGTCACCCCAACATCCCGTCGAGCCACCCCATGTCCCCTCGGGCCAGAGAGCTGTCGTGGCAGCGCCATCTCCTGGCAGTGCCTCCTTCGTTAAGAACTTGCCTCATTTAAGGAGTAGCCTCATTAAGGACCAGCATCTTCAGCCTGGGTTGGGGGGTGCTGGTGCCCCTGTCCCCCATTTCCCCCGGGCTGACCCTTGGCTCTGCTGGCAGGTCGTAACGAACTGATAGCCCGGTACATCAAGCTGCGGACGGGGAAGACGCGGACGAGGAAGCAGGTGAGGGCATAGCTGTGCTTCTCCTCTTGGGGGGACTCTGGGGGTGCAGGGGGAGGGGTCAGGTAAGCCTGGGGGCGAGTGGGTGCCCGGCTGCATCACCCATCCTCTGTATCCCCTCCTGGAGCCACCGTTGCTGCCAGCAGGACCCTCATCCTCTGCAAGGAGCTTTGTTTTCAAGCACAAACACCCTCGGGATGGTCAGTGCCAGCCTGATCTGTGGGTGCCCTGAAATCTGGGGTATGGGGCAGGCAGCACCCAGCCCTTCCTGGCTGTGCTGGGGTCACCCATGGGAGCAGGAGCCTTGGAATCTCCCATACGAGCAGTGTGTGCATCCACGCACATCCATGCATCCCTTTGCTGCTCCACCTGGATCTGGAGACCGTTCCCACCTCTGGCCCTTAGAATCATGGAATCAACCGGGCTGGAAAAGCCCTTTAAGCTCATCCGATCCAACCTTTACCCCAGCCCTGCCAAGACCATCCCTAACCCATGGCACTGAGGCCTCGTCTCCACGCTGTGTGAACACTTGCAGGGACGGTGACTGCAGCCCTGCCCTGGGCAGCCTGTTCCAATGCCTGAGCACCCTCTGGGGCAGGAATTGTTCCTCAGCTCCATCTAAACCTGCCCTGGTGCGGCCTGAGTCTTTATGCTGATTGTGCCAGACACCACAGTGAAGGCATCCCCAAAGCCCCCAGGCTGATCCCAAGGTGTCCCCATCTGGCCAGGGGAGAGGCTGTGCAGGTCCTGGGTACCTGGGAGTCCCACAGAGCCCTTGCTCCAGCCTCGCTGCCCTGTAAGGATTGGTGCTGAGGGAAACCGGTGCCAGCAGGGCAGGGAGCAGGCAGTGGTCCTCCATTGCCTGCATGAGCAGGGTCTCATCCATCCCAGCAGCTTCACCCTTCTGCCAGAGATCAAACCTATGTGAGGACACACTGCCCTTGAAGGGATGTGTCTGTTTATCACATGTCTGGTGGCTTTTTCCTCCCCTCTGTGGTGGTCCCCAGCCAGGAGCTGGTGACCCATGGTGCTGGGAGTGGGTTTGTCTCCCACTGCAGGGGACTCATGGGTTTGGAGCATGGGGACACTTGTGTTGGGACTGTCCCGTGCCACAAGTCCCTTCAAGGGAGGGACACTGGTCCCCAGGCACTGGCTGGGGGACATCCCTCCAGGACTGATGCTGGAGGGAGAGGGACCAGGGTTCAGCCACTGTCCCGGCGTTCAGACCAGCGCTGAGAAGTGCTTTATTTCTGGCTTGAAGCCTCAACTGGCTCCCTGGACCCCTTCTTCATGTGGGGAAGGATTCAGTGCTGGGTGACAGCACTCCCAGGGGAGAGTGCATGTGGCACTGTCCCCTCTGTGCAGTCGTGTCCTGCACAGCCTGTTGTCCAGCTTGGCGCTGGTGGGAGAAGTATCTTGCCTGTCCCCTTCCTGCCTGTACATCAGCCCCTTTGCTTTGGATCCTGCTCTTAGGAGGGCCTAGACACCAAAACCTCACAACACTTCTCACCTTTCCCACCTGCAAAATCAGCAGGAGCCTCAGGGGAATGAGCTGGTCCCTCCTGGAGCTCCCTTGGGACCTGCATACCCGCTGCAGGATAACCCAGGGGCCCCTCAAACCAGCCGGTTTGTACCCTCAACACTGCAAGCAGCAGCTCATTGCACTCACAGGGGCTGGGGGTTCTGTCTGGGAAGCCCCAAGACATGGTAAACATGGACCCCCCCCGAACTGCATCAGCTTCACTCTGAGGAGCTTCGCCCCAAACAGGGGGGCACAAACCAGCATCAATCAGTGCAGCAGCACCAGAGCCCCTCCAGTTTTGCTCTCTCCAGCTCGTGGCAGGCACAGGACCCTCTGCATCTCCAGGAGCATCACCCCCTGCGCTCCTCCCCTTTTCCATGCTCCCTTCCCCAGGAACATCATCCCACCTCGCAGGGATGAACACATCTTCACGCTCTCTGTGTTTTCCTTTCCGAACGGCATGGCGGGCGCTAGGTGTCCAGCCACATACAGGTTCTAGCTCGGAAGAAGGTGCGGGAGTACCAGGTTGGCATCAAGGTACGTTGGTGCCCTTGCCCAGGTGTCCGCGGCGGTGTCTCTGTGAGCATGGGCAGCCCCTTTTTCCTCCTTCCTCCTTTCCTCTGGTTGACGGCTCTGCTGTTCCCCCTCTCCTGCTCTCTCTCTGCAGGTCTCTAGCCACTTGCAGGTTCTTGCCCGGCGGAAATCTCGTGAGATTCAGTCCAAGCTGAAGGTACGCGCCCGCCGCCGCGCCCGCTGACCACTAACGCCCTCGGCTCTGCGGTGTGCCGCTTGCTTTCCTTTACTACCTCTGGTTTGGTGGTTTTGGTTTTCCTTCCCCCTCCCTCGGCTTCTGGGACCAGATGGGTTTTTAGAGGCATCACTGCAGGATGCACAGAGAAGTGCAAGGATGGGAGGGGAGGCAGAGCCCTTCCTTCTCCCCCAGAAGAGTGAATTTGGGTGCCAAATCCCCTCCTGTCACCCAAGCAAGGACTCCACTATGGGGAAATGGGGGTTTAAACCTCCTCTGGTGATCCGTGGGGCTGCACCCCTCTTTTGGGCTATCAGGAGTTCTCCCAGGAAGGGTAGGACCTCCTCCCCAAGAGCAGCCAGCAAGACAGTGAGGGTCAAACAAGGGGTGCAAAGGGCTGTCCCCCTGTAAGCTGAGACCTGGCCCCACTGGTGACGGGTGCTGGTAGGACATGGGCAGAAGTAGGGGGGTCCTCGGGTCTCTGCAGGCTGCCAGCTCAGAGACTTCTGATGGAAGAGGGTCTGAATATGGCCAAGGTGGCAGCTCAGGGATGAGGACGGCAGTGGGTCCAGATGGGGCCATGCTACTGTGGAGGGGACACAGGGGTCCCAGGAGGAGAAGTGGGGGTGCCAGGGCAGCCCGTGATTCCAGGAGCCAAGGGAGCCGAATGAGGAAAATCTGGATCATCCTCTCTTCTCTGGTTCGCTTTTCTTTCCTTCCTTCCTCCTAACTGGAGCCCAACTAACCCTTCCGTAACTGGTCCCACTGTGCTTCGTGGCGGTGGTGGGGAGGATGATGATGGGGCACGAGCAGGACTGGGGGCATTGACAAAGGACCGAGCCCTGCTCAGATTGGACCCGCATGGTGCAAGGTGTGGAGCAGAGTGGTCCTCACTGCACTGCCACCCATTGAGGACAGCAGCTCCAGGCTGGGCTGTGCACGCTGGGGTGTTCCCAGCTTAATCCCAGACTGTCACACCAGGAAGCATGTCCATGGGCAGGATCCAGGGGGGACACCTGCTGCCTTGCCGAGGAGCCCAGAAAAGGTTCCAGCTCCCTGCCATGACCTCCAGGTCCCAAAGGCATCATCTGCTCCCTGTGTCCCTGTCCTGGATGCTGTGCCCGAGTGTCCAGCACTGAGGCTGGCAGTGGGGCCACTGTCAGAGCTGGCGCTTGCATTTTGGCACCCAGAGCTTTAACAAGCTCTGGCTCACCCTGCCCGGGAGCCCACCAAGCCATAACCTCCACATCCCTTCAGCAGGGACAATGGTGCCCCATGAGTGGGGTGCCAGGAGTGCTTCCACCCCCTGTAGGTTTGGTCTGGGGGGGAAGCTAGGAGAGGGCACCCAAAACTATTTTGGGAGGCTCCTCTGGGCTCATGCACCTTAAACGCAGCTCCCAGCCCCGAATCAAATAGATAAAAACCAGCTTCCCTTATTGCAGGGCCCAGGGCAAGGGGGAGTCAGAGGCAGGAATGACCCCTGGAGTTGGGATGGAGGCCAGTGTCCATGGCTGCGCTCTCCGTCCCTGGCCATGCTGCCTGGAGGAATCCAGCAGGGAACAGCCAGGGCAGGGATCCCTTTAAACAATACACTGTGGATGCGAAACATCTTTTCCCAGCCATCCTGGGAGGCAAAGCCGGGCATGGGCACCCCTCTGCCCTCACCCAGTGCCTGTCCTATTGAATGGAAACTCCCTCCCGTGAGCAATAGAAGTATTTTAAGCTGCAGTCATGCACGTGTTAGTGCTGCGTGCGGCTGCATGCCCATGCTCCTGCGCTGCCCCAGGTGGAAACAGATGAAGTGATTGATCCCTGAGGAGGGTTCAGAGGGAAAACAGGCTGTGCGGTGGGACCAGCACCATGTGTCCTGGTGATGTGGCTGGAGGAGCAGCCCTACCGTGAGGGAAGACCTCGGAGCCCTCCGCTCCTGCCCAGCAAAAGGCAAAGGCAAAAAGAATTGGTCTCCTATAGGAACGTACACAGGGCACAGATGGGTTGTGCCCAGGGTCTTCCTTGTGGTGCTGTAGGGAATTTGGGGCTGGGCAGGACAGGAGCTGGTGGCTCTTCCTCTCTGTGCCCTGGCTGCAAGTGTTGGGGTTTGCTGAGGAGGTTGTGAAGGATGTTAAAGGTTGCAGAGGTTATGACAAAGCCAACAGAGATGCTGGCTGACAATCCCCCAAGACAGTGGGCAGGCTTTGGCGTCCCATTCGGGGGGGCTGGGGTTAAGCCCAGGCATCGGTGCCCACCATGTGCATCCCGTGGTCGAGGGGCTCAGTCCCCAGACCAGGCTGTGTTGATGAGCTGGGGGGGGGGGGGGATACCCCACTGGGGGTGCACACAGTGCCCACAGGCTCCCACGAGGCTCTAACCTTTGTTTTTTCCTTTCTTTTGTGGACAGGCCATGAACTTGGTAAGTTGAGCTTGGGTTTGTGATGCCTTTTGTTCCCCATTGCTTTTGCCTGCTCCTGTGGAGGGGCTCAATCCTCTGCATCCCCGAGGGGGTGGACAGGGGCGATACCTTCCAGCCCCAGCGGCTCTTGCCCAGGGGACGTTTGCAAGCTTCAAGCATTTATTAACAAGAGTGCTTTTGGGGTGGGGTGGGCATCCACTTGCCCTGGCCCTTTGGCTGGGCTGCACGACCAGCTCCAAGCTTTTGTACACTCAGACTGAGGGGGGGTCTCAGTTTGCCCCTATAACTCCCCATCTCCCTCCTGTCCCCCCCAGGACCAGGTCTCGAAGGATAAGGCTCTGCAGAGCATGGCTTCCATGTCCTCCGCGCAGATCGTATCAGCCAGCGTCCTGCAGAACAAGCTCAGCCCCCCTCCTCCTCTTCCTCAGGCTGTCTTCTCCGCTGCCCCCAGGGTGAGGACAGCCCCACGAACCCATACAGGGACACCCTGGGGTGGGGGGGACACGGATCCTGCACAGGGGACAAGGGGATAGTGTTTGATGGCCATGCTCAGCCCTGGTGGCAATGCAAGGGGGGATATGGGGACTCAAGGCAGTTTGAAGCAGGCAAGGAGGGGAATTTGGGGGTGTCACAAGCCGCTGACTCTTCCCTGTGCTGTTCTCCCAGTTTTGGAGTGGGCCTATCCCAGGACAGCCTGGACCCTCTCAGGAGTAAGTATGAGACCCCTCCACTGCCCAGTGCTGGGCAAGACCCCCCCTTGGTGAGGGGCTGGGGTAACCCAGGCTTCGTTAACCTAATGATGCTCTTTGCTTTCCAGCATTAAACCATTTGCACAACCAGCTTACCCCATCCAGCCACCCATGCCTCCATCACTAGCCAGTAAGTGCTACCCTTGCCCTCCTTAGAGGGACTGCAACCTGCTTGGTCCTGTTTGTCCTCTGCCCTGTGCCACCCTCCCACCACCTCCTGCAGGTTCTAGGGGAAAAAAATGGGTTTAAACCCAGCAAAAAGCTCCAGGATGAGCAGGACCCTGCTGCTCCCGGCTCTGTCTCCTCCCACCTCCACGTCACTTTCCCTTTTCATCCCATGTTTTGGCCATCCCATGGGAAGGCCCCTGTGTTGGGAGATCTGGGTGGGTGGGGGATACAATAGGACAGCAGTGCAGGGGGGTTCACCCCATGGTGTCCGTGTCCCCCTCCAGGTTATGAGCCCTTGGCTCCGCTCCCACCAGCCGCCTCGGCCGTGCCGGTCTGGCAGGACCGTACCATCGCCTCCGCCAAGCTCCGGCTCCTCGAGTACTCTGCCTTCATGGAGGTGCCACGGGATGCTGAAACGGTAACGGTCCCCTGCGTGTCCCCAGCACCTGGGTGGGATGTGCCTGTCCCCATGCTTGGTTTGGGTTGAAGGGACCTTAAAGCTCCTCCAGCTCCAACCCCTGCCCACGGGCAGGGACCCCTTCCACTAGAGCAGCTTGCTCCAAGCCCCTGTGTCCAACCTGGCCTTGAACACTGCCAGGGATGGGGCAGCCACAGCTTCTCTGGGCACCCTGTGCCAGCGCCTCAGCACCCTCACAGGGAAGAGCTTCTGCCTTAGATCCAACCTGAACTTGCCCTGTTTCAGTCTGAACCCATCACCCCTTGTCCTATCACTGCAGTCCCTAATGAAGAGTCCCTCTCCAGCATCCTTGTAGCCCCCTTCAGACACTGGAAGCTGCTCTGAGGTCTCCATGCAGCTTCTCTTCTCCAGGCTGAACAGCCCCAGTGTTCTCAGCCTGGCTCCACACAGGAGGTGCTCCAGCCCCTGAGCATCCTCATGGCCTCCTCTGGCCTTGCTCAAACTGCTCCATGTCCTGGAGCAAGCAGGCTCCATGAGAGCAGCGCAGAGGGGCAGGATCACCTGCTGCTACCTCTTGTTTTGATGCAGGCCAGCACAAGGGTGGTTTCTGGGCTGCAAGCTTACCTCCTGCTTCACCTCACCTCTCGTTTTCATCTCCCCACCCCGGTCCTTACAGTACAGCAAACACCTCTTCGTACACATCGGGCAGACGAACCCCTCGTACAGTGACCCACTGCTGGAGGCTGTGGACATCCGCCAGATCTACGACAAGTTCCCCGAGAAGAAAGGTGGCCTCAAGGAGCTCTATGAGCGTGGGCCCCAGAACTCCTTCTTCCTCGTCAAATTTTGGGTACGATGCTGGGAGGATGAAGATGGGGAGGGTTGTCCTTGAGCCATGGGCTTGATGCAGGTTGCCAGCATAGTGAGAGCATCTTGGGCAGCTCATAAGCTGGTGTCCCCTATTCCCATGGAGAGCTGGGTGGTATGTCACCTAAGAGGACCCCATCTCTGCTCATTGTAGAACCATGGAATGGTTTGGGTTGGAAGGGACCTTAAAGCTCATCCAATTCGAAACCCCTGTGTCCAACCTGGCCTTGAACACTGCCAGGGATGGGGCAGCCACAGCTTCTCTGGGCACCCTGTGCCAGCGCCTCAGCACCCTCACACTTCTTCCCTCTATCTTACATCATTTCCAGGCGGATTTGAACAGCACGATCCAGGACGGGCCAGGGACTTTCTACGGTGTCAGCAGCCAGTACAGCAGTGCAGAGAACATGACCATCACGGTCTCCACCAAGGTGTGCTCCTTTGGGAAGCAGGTCGTGGAGAAGGTGGAGGTGAGTCCCACGCCCCACTGCATCAGGAAGGGGTGGGAATCGGGTCCACAGTGGGTTCCAGGATGGAGAAAGCCCCAGAGCTGGGTGTAGGACTCATGGGAGCGGAGAGGCCATCTTCACCATGTCCCAGTTGGCCACCGTGTGGTTTTCCGTGTGCCATTGGGTTCCCAGTGCTCACCCTGGCTGTGCCCCACAGACGGAATATGCACGGCTGGAGAACGGCCGGTTCGTCTACCGCATCCACCGGTCTCCCATGTGCGAGTACATGATCAACTTCATCCACAAACTCAAGCACCTCCCTGAGAAGTACATGATGAACAGCGTCCTGGAGAATTTCACCATCCTGCAGGTAATTCCCTTCCTTTTCCAGGGAGCATTTCCCACCCTGACACAGCCTGCTGTGTGCTACCTGATCCCAGGGCACTCAGCCTTGGCAGTGCATATACACCTGAGCCCCCAAAAACTGGGTAGCAAGCTCTTGGTAGTGCAGTTAAATTGGTTGTGCCTAAGCCTGTGCAACACCCCAAATGTCTCTACAACTGCCTGACAGGAGGATGGAGCCAGGAGAGGGCTCGGCTCTGCTCCCAAGGAACATGGGAGAGGAAACGGCCTCAAGCTGCACCAGGGCAGGTTTAGATGGAGCTGAGGAACAATTCCTGCCCCAGAGGGTGCTCAGGCATTGGAATAGGCTGCCCAGGGCAGGGCTGCAGTCACCAGCGTGGAGACGAGGCCTCAGTGCCATGGGTTAGGGGTGGCCTTGGCAGTGCTGGGGTAAGGGTTGGACTGGATGATCCAAAAGTTTTTTTCCTACCTGATTGATTCTAGGGTTCTAAATAACAGGTAGCACATTTTTCATGGTGCAATTAAAGTGTCCGAGCCCATCAACCCCACGAGTAACAGCATCTCCCCATGGGCACAGCCCCATCCTGATGCACTGTGTGCTCTGCCGCAGGTTGTTACCAACAGGGATACCCAGGAAACTTTGCTCTGCATTGCCTTCGTCTTCGAGGTGTCCACCAGCGAGCACGGCGCCCAGCATCATGTCTACAAGTTGGTCAAGGACTAGGGGCCCTTGGGGACAGGTGGGGGTATGAAGGGTGCGGGGTGAGGGGGCTGTGCTCAGCAGGCACCCGCGCCCACTGCCTCGTGAGGAGTCATTTGAAGTGAGGAGGAGGAGGAAGAAAAACAATAGCCAAAAAAGACTGACTTGTGACGCAGATGTTTTCGACTTAGGAACAGTTTCTTTTTTTTTTTTTTTTAAATAAATAAAAAAAAAAAAAGAAGAATGGGAAAGGAAGTGTAGGGAGAAAGGAAAACCGCATCCAGAGCTGGATGGGGAGAGGCTGAGGAAGGCCGGGAGCCCATCGGTCCACTGCCAGCAGCGGGATGTCGGAGCAGAGGACAACCCCTCCTCTCACCCCGCACCTGAGGGTCCTGATCCCAGTCCTGAGCGGAGAGGAGCGAGTACGGATGGGCTGGAGGGTATGGCAGCAGCATCACTGCAGGTCTGATCCAAATCCGATTGGCATCAGTGCTGCCTGGAGGCTGGTGGGGACATGGGGATGGAATGTTGAGGTTGGGGACATGGGGATGGAATGTTGAGGTTGGAGCAGGGTAGGACAGGGTGGAGAGGACCCAGGATGCTCCTTCTCCATGCCCCGGTGAGGCACTGGGAGCCGGTGGCACAGAACTGGGAGGCCATTGACGATGCAATCTTGGTTTTTTATGGCTCTTTTTTTTTCCTTTCTTTTTTAAATTAAAGTGCTTTTTAATACTTTTTAAGAAGACACCATGCTTGTAACCAGGACTGTGACCCTCTGTGGTGTCCAGGACCTCCTTTCACCCCCTGTGCTGGTGATGGAAGAGGTGACACAATAGTTTGATGGGTCAGAGTCATGCTGGGCTTGGGGAACAGCTCCTGTAGGGAAGATTTGGGGGTGTCCCCATTCCAGGAGGGGCTGCAGACGTGGCAGTGGGATCCCCTGAGCTCTGCACTTGGGGTGACCCAGGCTAAACGTACCCTCTGTGGTTGCTTGCTGAGGAGTATCAAGGAGAGAGCACTGTGGGTGGATTTGCCTGATTTACTTTGCATTTTCCATCCTTTTGTTGGAGTTTATTTCACCTTTTGGACTTTTTTGGTGTTGACTGTTGTGGTTTCAGCTGCTCCCCGCAGCCGCTCCGGCTGGCTTGCCTGTATCCCATGGGAAGCAGCTGGGGAGGCAGCTGGAGCAGGGAGAAGCAGCGCATTGTGCAATGCAAGACCAGGCTGCGAGCGGGCAGAATTTGGGACAGAGAGGGACAGAGAGGGGGCAGAGGACAGGAGGGACACCAGAACAGGGGACTGGCTCTGCTTGGAGGTGCTTTTGTGGCTGCATCCCAAAATCGGCCCAGGCAGCATGTCCAGTCCCTAGGCTCTGCATGGGCTGAGCATCCCCAGGGTACAAGAGGGATGCAGAGGGGCGGAGGTTGGGATTTGAGGGGGTGGCATGGTACAGGGTGGCAGGAGGCTGGCAGGGGGACGAGGAGCCTGCGATGGGCAGGTCTGGCTGGGTTTCTTGTGGAGTGAAGGCAGCGGGAGGTGCAGGACTGGGTTGAGGGGTGCTGGAGCCAGGGGTGATGGGACTGGGGGGGGTTTAGGCTTGATGCTGCCAGGTGTAGAGAGCAGGGACAGCCCCAGAGCTTTGGAAAGGGCCTTGGCTGCCATTGTGGTGCCACGTTCCGTGAGATGCGGGGACTTCAACCTCTCGCTGCTGAAAGAAGCCACTCGGTGGTGGGCCTGGATGGAGCAGGGACAGCAGAGCATGGGGGAAGGAGAGAGGGAAAAATCCAGGGAAAGGCATGGGCACCCCATCCCAGGGCTGTGCCGGGGCTGCCCGGCCGAGTTCTCATATGTAGCATGCTTCTTTGTTGTTTCGTGGTTCTTTTTCTTTCTTCCATTTCACTCACTGACCTAAAAACTCTGGGAATGAAAACTCAGCACTTCCCCACCATAGAACACAGGCGTGCGCTGCTCCCGGCTCTGCTGGGGGACAAAGCTCTTCATGAACTGGACTGGTCTGTGCCTCCATCCCTGCCTCCATCCCTGCACCCTCCATCCCGGGGTGCCCACCCGCACCCCCCGCACACGCTGCCTGGTACCCAGAGACACTTTCTCATCCCCCCCCATCCCCTCTGTTCTCCTCCAGTGTATTTATGAATTTCACATGAAGTACTGTTTTATTTTTTTAACGACTTTGTAAAGCTTACCAGGGTTACAATCACCATTTTTAGAGCTGTGTCAGTCCACAATGTTAAAAAAAAAATCCTTTTTTTTAATGTATTATATTTTTTGTGTATTTTTTTTTAATCCAGCTGTGATGGGTTGTATCATATATTTGTTGTGTTTACTGTATCTGTCCAACTTCAAAGAGAGGAGACTGTGGAGCTCTGAGAAAACTACAGTCTGCTGAAAAGAAAACCATTAAAATTATTTGTTCATGGGTTGGCTCAAGTGGTTCTGAAGTTCATATTGGTTTATTTCTTGTGGTTTTCTTCCACCAGACAGGACCATGAGGGTTGCTGCAGCCCATGAAACCCCTTGGCTGGGTCGCGCTTCCCCCTGGACCACAGTTCTGGGCATTGCAACACCACATCCAACAGCATTTTGCTGTGGTTGCATCACCAGGGGTGGTTTTGTAGGGAAGGTGACTGCTGGATTAGCCCACCCTGGGGCAAACGCTCCACAGCATCACTGGGTTCATGGACACATATTTTAGGGGGTCACATCCTTGCCCACACTGGCATCAGGTGACAGAGGACTGAGTCTGACCAACCACTGAGAAATGCAGCCCAAAGGGCCAACCATATCCTGGGCTTCATCCCTGGCAGTGTTCAAGGCCGGGTTGGACACAGGGGCTTGGAGCAAGCTGCTCTATGGAAGGTGTCCCTGCCCGTGGCAGGGGTTGGAGCTGGAGGAGCTTTAAGGTCCCTTCCAACACAAACCAGGCTGGGATTCTGTGATTTCCTCAAGCCTCCAGAGACCTCTGAAAGTCATCCCATCAAAGAGCAGTAAGGGGAAACTGCTTGGCTTGGGCAGTGCTGCTGCTGCATCAGATAATGACTGGTCCTTGGCTTGGGTGAGAAATGACCTGGGGAAACTACCCATCCCAGAGCACAGCGGCTCTTTGCTGTCACTTGAAGCACCACAGGGCCTGTGCAGTGTGTGGTGTTTGCCAGGTCATCTGTCCCTGGGGGGGAATTCACCTCCTTCCATGATTCTGTGGTTAAGGCATCCAAGAGACTTATTTCTAACCAGGCTCCCTGTGGAGCTAATCCAGCCTGAGCCATAGGCTGGGAATGGCAACAGAACACACAGGCAGGATCGAGAGAGACCCTGACAGCAGAGTCAGGCTCACCAGCACCCCGTGCATAGCCCCTGCTTGAGAGCATCAGCGCTCCGGGAACAGGCTGTAGGACGTGCATGCAGTGCCATCATAAGGGCTGTAAAGGAGGAGGCAGGGGAAGAGGAAAGCTGCTCAAATACTGGGCACTGCCGCCTTTCCCATGAGCCCATGGACAGGACCCTCCAGGACACGAGTAGGGAGCGGAGAGCAGGAGAAGGGGCGGGGAGGGGAAGGGAGAGATGCCCGGAGGGCTGCGGGATGCTCCCGAGTTAGACCTGGGACCCGGGTGCTAACGAGAGAGGATGTCAACGACATCACGGCGGATCCCACAGGCCTCCGAGAAGATGCTGCGATGGGCGCCCGAACTGCCAGGAGCTGCGCGGGCTGCTCTGGGGAGGCGCGCAGCAGCACAGCCGCCGTTACCGCTGCTATCCCCCAGTGCGCCTCCCAACGCACCCCATCAGCACCCCATCAGCACCCATCACACCCACGCCCGGCCCCATTCACACCCTCCCGGCCCTGACCCGCCTCCCGGGGCGGCCCCTTTCCTTCCCCTTCCCTTTCCGTTCCGCTCCGTTCCCGTTCCGCGCTGCCTGCCGGGACGCGTAGTCCCGCGGCCTCGCACCGCTCCCGCTCGCACCAGGTCCGGTCCCAGCCCGCTCCGCGCCCGCCGATCGCTCCGCGCTCCCTCCGCTCCGCTCCGCTCCGCTCTCCCCCCGCCTGTTGCGCTGCTCCCGGCCCCTCTCCCGGCCCCGCTCCGCCTGTTGTTGCTCCCGGCCCCGCTCCGCCTGTTGTTGCTCCCGGTCCCGATCCGCCTGTTGTTGCTCCCGGCCCCGCTCCGCCTGTTGTTGCTCCCGGCCCCGCTCCGCCTGTTGTTGCTCCCGGTCCCGCTCCGCCTGTTCTTGCTCCCGGCCCCGCTCCGCCTGTTGTTGCTCCCGGTCCCGCTCCGCCTGTTCTTGCTCCCGGCCCCTCTCCGCCTGTTGTTGCTCCCGGTCCCGCTCCGCCTGTTGTTGCTCCCGGTCCCGCTCCGCCTGTTGTTGCTCCCGGTCCCGCTCCGCCTGTTGTTGCTCCCGGCCCCGCTCCGCCTGTTGTTGCTCCCGGTCCCGCTCCGCCTGTTGTTGCTCTCGGCCCCGCTCCGCCTGTTGTTGCTCCCGGTCCCGATCCGCCTGTTGTTGGTCCCGGCCCCGCTCCGCCTGTTGCTCCACAACCCCATCACCGTTCCACGCCCGGTCCCGTGGGGAGCTGGGTGGGGGAAGCGTCCCCGGGGGTATTACCGGTAATACCGGCGGGTACCGCACTGCATGGGGACGAGATGAGCCGCCCGGTGACCCGCCGGGGCAGGCAGAGCCCGGCTGCCCGCACCCGTCACCCTGGAGCCCCGGGTTACTTTCCTGAGGCTTCTAAGCGGGCAGCGCTGGGGCTGCTCCGGGAGCTGCAGGGTCCTCCCGGGGCTTGGGGTGTCCGAAAGTGTCCATGGGCTCCCCAAGCGCGGAGGGGGGGTGGGTGTCCCGTGCCCGTGCCAAGCAGATTCACTTTGAAACTGGAGTTAAAGTTCCAGGGCTTGAGCCCTGAACCCCATCCCTGACTCACTGGTGTCCTCGAGCGTGGGATGCAGGAGTCACCCATCTTGTTCGGGTGCATGGGTCCCTGTTTAGGGGCAGGTTGGGGTTTGGGATGGCCTTTGCAGGTGGGAGAGGAGGGGACGGCCTGGGCCAGGCTGGAGCACCCCGGGTGCTCCTTTATCCCAGCCTGGCTCCCCAGATCTGAGCCGTTCTCTGTGCCAGCTCCCCGGGGCTGTCACCCCAACCTCATCCCTACAGGACCCCCTCTGTCCTGGCGAGCAATGGAGGGAGATTCCACCCTGCAGCTCCGTGTCTTTGACCTCAACTGCTGGTGAGTCCAGGGGCTCGCTGGGGTGGGGATAGGGACACCTGCACTGGTAGATGGGTCCCAACCTTTGTGTCCCCTTTGTTTCAGGCTCACACTGCTCTCCCAGCCCTGCACTTGTCAGGGTTGTGCTCCCATCCCCTCTGTGCCTGCTCCTCCCAGAAAAATGCCCCCCTTCATCCCCCAACCAGGGATGAGCTGCCTTGATCCTGCGGACAGGAAAAGCTGTCCCCAGTGAGCCTCCTTGTACATCCCTCTTGTCCCCATGTTCCCCAGTGGCCCTTGCCCCCTCCCCTCTCCGTCTGCCTCCTGCCCATTGCAGTCCTGGAGCCCTCACTCCCCCATTTCAGGTGCTGGCAGCCCACATCACCCCCTGTCCCCCCGTGTCCCCCCCCAAGCTGTGACCACCCCTTCTCTCCATCAGGGCCATCCGCTACCTGAGCAAACGGCGGCAGGAGCGCGTGCGGCTCATCGGGGACGTGCTGCGTCAGGAGCGCTTCGACCTGGTCCTTCTGCAGGAGGTGAGAGCAGCCCGTGAGCTGAATGCGCCTGTTGTCAGCCCCGCGCTGTGACACGAGTTGCGCCCGTTCTCAGCCTGAAACGAATGTGCCCCTTCTCGGCCCATCCTGCTGTTCTCCAGGTGTGGAGTGAGCAGGACTACAGTGAGCTGAAGGCGAAGCTGGGAGGCTGCTACCCCTTCTCCCATTACTTCCGGAGGTGAGAGGGGCCAAGCTCAGGGCTGCCTGTGGGGCTGTGACACGTCCTTGGTGTTTGCAGCATGGAGACACCAGTGCAGGTGCTGTAGGTCACCTCTGTCCCCATGTGGAGAGTGGGGTGCTCACGGGAGCACAGTGGGACCCTGGAGTCTGAGGAGCCCCTTGGCTTGGGGCTGGCAGGAGGTGGTGGTGGGGGCACCATATACTTGTGGTTAAGCCAACCATATACTGGGCTGCACCAAAACAAGTTTAACCATCAGGGCGAGGGATGTGATCCTGCCCTTCTGCTCTGCTCTCATGAGACTGCACTTGCAGCACTGTGTTCAGTGCCAGTGTCCCCAACATAAGAAGGACATGGAGCTGTTTGAGCAAGTCCAGAGGAGGCCACGAGGATGCTCAGGGGCTGGAGCACCTCCTGTACAGAGCCAGGCTGAGAACACTGGGGCTGTTCAGCCTGGGGAAGAGAAGCTGCGTGGAGACCTCAGAGCAGCTTCCAGTGTCTGAAGGGGGCTACAAGGCTGCTGGAGAGGGACTCTTCATCAGGGACTGCAGTGATAGGACAGGGGGTGATGGGTTCAAACTGAAACAGGGGAAGTTCAGGTTAGATCTAAGGCAGAAGCTCTTCCCTGTGAGGGTGTTGAGGTGCTGGCACAGGGTGCCCAGAGAAGCTGTGGCTGCCCCATCCCTGGCAGTGTTCAAGGCCAGGTTGGACACAGGGGCTTGGAGCAAGCTGCTCTAGTGGAAGGGGTCCCTGCCCGTGGGCAGGGGTTGGAGCTGGAGGAGCTTTAAGGTCCCTTCAACCCAAACCAGGCTGGGGTTCTGTGTCTACACTTCTCACTGTGCTTTTTCCCCCCTGCAGTGGGGTGATCGGCAGCGGCCTCTGCGTCTTCTCCAGGTTCACCATCCTGGACACCCTCCTCTACCAGTACTCACTGAATGGGTACCCCTACATGGTGAGTGGGGTGGGGGACGTGTGGCATCACGGTTCCTGGCCCCATGGAGCCTCGCCAGCCCCCCAACCTGTGCCGCTTCTCCTCTGGCAGCTCCAGCACGGGGACTGGTTCTGCGGCAAGTCCGTCGGCCTTGTCATCATTAAGATCTCTGGGATCATCTTCAATGTCTATGTCACCCATGTGAGTGCCCTGGGGAAGGACCTGGCACTGGGGGGACAATGGGGAAGAGGGGGATGAGTGGCTGTACCCCCCCTTTGCTGTCCCCTTGCTTTAACCACTGCTCTGCACCGTATCTCATGGGACTATGTACTGATGTAATGAAATACTGCTTTGGAGAGGGGCAGAGACCCCTAACCTGGCTGAGCATCCCAGGCTGTCCCCAGGGGGGTGAGATGAAGACAGAGGGGTTATCCAGACCCCAAAGGGACCATCTAGAGGGGCTGGGTAGGTGTGCAGGGAGCCAAGGAGCAAGGAAGGTGCCAGCATGGGGGTCATGGCCACTTTGCCCCCCACCCTCACCAGCTACATGCGGAATACTGCCGGGAGAAGGACGCCTACCTGCCCCACCGCCTGGTGCAGGCCTGGGAGCTGGCCCAATTCATCCGGTGAGCAGCTGTGGGGTGTCCCAGTCCCACGGGGTTCCCCATTGCAGGTCCCCGGGCTGTGTGTGGTCACCCCAGTGCCTGGGGCTTGCACTGCAGAGAGCTTCCATTTGCATCAAGTCCCAGTCAGGAGTAAGGCTGGGGAACGCTGGGGAGGGCCCCAGTCACCCCAGTCCGGTGTGGGGCAGGGGTTTAGCTGTCTCCATCCCCACAGACACACCTCAAAGGCAGCTGATGTGGTGCTGCTGGGGGGAGACCTGAACATGCACCCTGAGGATGTGGGCATCCGGCTGCTGCGTGGCTGGACGGGGCTGCAGGATGCCTTTGCTGAGGCCAAGCACTTTGAGGTGAGCAGCAGGGGGGAAGCAGGGTCCTGGGGTGCACTGAGAGCCACCCACCCACCCAAGTGCTTCATCTCAGGGCTGTAAGGATGGCTGCACCCTCATCCCCAACAACTGCTTCACCATCAAGACAGAGCTGCTGCCCTTCCCGCTCGGCATTCGCATTGACTACATCCTCTACAAGGTAATGGGGGTCCCTTGGCCATCAGTTGGGACTAGCAGGGGGGAGAAAGCATCATGACCCCCCTATCAACTCACCCAGGCCGTCTCCAGCTTCATGGTAAAGTGTGAAGAGCTGAAGACCACGACGGGGTCAGCTCCAGGCAGGGACATCCCCTTCTCAGACCATGAAGCTGTGATGGCAACGCTGCACATCAGGAGGCAGCGAGAGGCTGCGAGTGCCACCCTCAGCACAGCTGGTAAGGTGGGGGTGCTGCCAGGGTCCTCCATGTGCTGTGGAATAGGGGCTGGTGGATGGGCTGATGGAGCTGGATGAAGCGGCCAGAGGAGGCCACCAGGATGCTCAGGGGCTGGAGCACCTCCTGTATGGAGCCAGGCTGAGAACACTGGGGCTGTTCAGCCTGGAGAAGAGAAGCTGCAGGGAGACCTCAGAGCAGCTTCCAGTGTCTGAAGGGGGCTCCAAGGATGCTGGAGAGGGACTCTTCATCAGGGACTGCAGTGATAGGACAAGGGGTGATGGGTTCAGACTGAAACAGGGCAAGTTCAGGTTGGATCTAAGGCAGAAGCTCTTCCCTGTGAGGGTGCTGAGGCGCTGGCACAGGGTGCCCAGAGAAGCTGTGGCTGCCCCATCCCTGGCAGTGTTCAAGGGCAGGTTGGACACAGGGGCTTGGAGCAAGCTGCTCTATGGAAGGGGTCCCTGCCTGTGCAGGGTCCTTTCGAACCCAGCTCGGTCTGGGATTCTATAATTTGGATGGCGTTTTGGACGATGTTTCCCCTTGCTTAGGGCATCCCTTGGGGTGCCTGCGTGGGCAGGCAGAGCAGAGCAGTGGGAGAAAAAGGGCTATTGGGGTGGGGGTAAAGGGCAATGGGGGATATTGGAGGGTCCTATGCTGCTGAGCCACCCCTGTCCCCCGCAGTGCCGGCGCTGGTGGACGTGGTGACGGAGGCACGGACAGAGGTTGGCGTGGGGCTGCGGGCAGCGCAGCGGCAGCGCTACTCCACGGGCAGGCTGGCGGTGCTGGCATTGCTGCTGCTGCTGCTGCAGGCAGCAGCCGTGCTGGGCACGCTGGCGGGGCTGGGCGGGCAGCCCTTCCCCAAGCTCTCCTTCTCCCTGCTGGCCTTCCTCGCCGTTGGCATCCTCCTCCTCGCCACTGGCCTCCACCTCTTCCACACCATCGAGGTGAAGATGCTGCAGGGCACAGAGGAGCAGATGCGGATGGCGCTGCGGGTGCTGCAGGAGCGGCCCAGCGATGGCTGAGTTGGTGCTGTGGATGTCCCACGTTGGCCCCACAGCCCCATCCTGGCCTCTTTCGGTCCCTTTTTGTAGCTGACTTCTGATTTTAGGTGAGCAGCGCTGTGGCCGGATAGGTGGCACAGGTTCACAGCCACCTCTCTGGGTGAAATTAAGGTTTTTGGGGGCAGATTCATCATGTTGGCCCCCATGGGAACCCGAGGGGTGGCAGGTTTTAATTGCTTTTTTAACACAGCCTTGTTACCTGGAGGGATCCACCAGCGTGGCCGAGAGGCTCCAGAGGCTCGGCCTGGGGTGGCCTCAGGGGCTCCTGGTGAAAGCTGGTGCTTGCTCCAGCAACCAGATTTGACTCGGGCAGAAATAAAGGTGACGTTTTAGCCCTTGGTGTTGGGCTGGGGAGGCTTTATTCAAAGGAAGGGAGAGGGTGCAGCAGGATTGTAGGGCTGGTGCAGACACAAAGTGGACAGGAGGGTGTGGGGAGGCAGGATGAGGAATGGAGAGGGGGGTGTATTGCTAACAGAGGAGCCCGCGCCCAGGACCTCCATGCTCGGCATAGCTGGTGCTTAAGCACTGTCTGGCCGTGGAGGCCGCCCCACAACAACCGTGGCATTGCCAAGCAGGAGAAACCCCAAAGGGACAAGGAGGACACAGGCCTCAGCCTCGTGTCCCTGAGCACAATCCCTTCTGGGAGCTGCTGGACAAACAGCCCCTTCCCCAGCCCTGGGGCATCACGGGGTGGGGAGGGTCTGACTGGTTTCCAGCAGTTGCTGGGGACAGCATGGATGTGGCACTCAAAAGCAGCGATGCAGAGTGGTGGGGTCAGCCCCGTCTGTCCCTGGCTCCACTTGCAGAGCCAGATGTCCCTGGAAGAGCTGGATGTCCAGTGTGGGACGGATGTCCTGGGTTAGGATGGATGTCCCAGGGTGGGATGGATATGTTGGATTAGGATGCATGTCCTCAGCACGGATGGGTGCCCCAGGGTGTCTCCTAAGGGCTACTCCTGACACTGCCTCTCGACATTTGGCATCTCCACTGCGACCTCCCTGTTGTGGCCATGGTCACATCTCCAGTGCCCAGAGCTGGACAGGTTGTGATGAGCCAGCTCTGTCCCACCAAGAACGCGTCCTGAGGCAGGTTCAGCTCGAGCACGAGGGGCTCTGCTGACAAAACACTTTCCATGTCCCATCCAAGCCTCTGGGCAGCATCCTCTGGAAGAGCTGATGGCTGCAGGACCTCCTGCACTGAGACCCTGCTTCCATGCAGGGCTGCTTCCTCCTGTAGCAAACCCCAGGCAGAGCCACCACAGTCCCCGTGTCCTGTAGCCTCCCGCACATCTTGTTCTCAAGCAAGCTCAAGGCAAAGGCAATCCAGCCAAGCGTGGGGAAACCCTCTCTGCACCCCAAAGCCAGGGTGCTCCCCGGTGTCTCCCTACACAGGTATCCACCAATGGGTCCGGCCTCTCCATGGCAGCTTTGGCAAGCAGGGAGCTGGATTCACCACAGCACCTCAGGCGCCACCTCCAGAGGTGATGCTCAGCCACGCTGGGGGGACACCTCTTGTCCCCCCCCGGGAGGAACCGGTGTGTCCTGAGGCCACACGAATCAGGGCTGCAGCTCACTGAGCCGCTTCTCCTCCTGGATGTGGATGAGGACGTTGCGCTTGTTCACCACGTCCAGCAGCTGCACCAGGATCTCCTGCTCGGCTGTGCGATCCTCAGGTGTCTTCAGGGATTCTATGAGAGCAGGAGGCTGGAGCAGGGCTAGGGGGGGCACAGCCCCATCCTGCTCCCCCCACCAGGCACAGGAACCCCACAGCTCACCCTCCTTGTTCATGTAGCCCCGGAGCTTCTGGTCAAGCTGGCACTGCTGCTCCTCCAGCTTCAGCTCCTGCACGCTGCAGGGAGGGAAGGGGGATGCTGGGCTCAGGGGGCTCGGGTGAGCTGAGCCCCCCATGCCAACCCGGAGCATCCTCCCCAAGCCTTACGCGATCATGAGGTCTGACTCCTCAGACATCAGGCTGTTCTTCTTCTGGACCAGGTACAGCAGCTGGTTCATCCACTGCGTCTTCTGGTCGGCCGGGGTGCCTGTGGGGCAGGGAGGTTGTGAGTGGGGCGCAGACCCCCTCGTTATGGTGGTCGTGGCACCCCATCCACCCTAGATTTACCACCCTCATCCCGGAGTAACTTCTCGAGCTTGATGCCCTGCTGCTCCAGCTCCCGGAATGTCACCTCGATCTCCTCCAGCCGCCTCTGGATGGCCTGCAAAGCGAGGGCAGTAATCACCCATGGGTGGGCATCCATGGGATGGAGGGGATGGGGACCCGGCTCTGCCCCATGGGTCCCCATGGAGCTACCTGGGCTTTGCAGAACCTCTTCATCTGTGCTTCCCTGTCCCGGCGGGTCAGGGTGCGCTTCCAGGTGGGGTATTTCTCCTCTTCCCCCAGGTCCAGGCCCTGTGAGGGACAGTGGCATGGGCAGGGGTCAGTCATTGCCCCAGCAGCTGTGTCAGAGCCTGACCCAATGGCTCTGTGAGAGAAGGTGCCAACAAGCGCCCCAGCACTGCCTGGGCTGGTGTGGCCACTGCTATTAGGGAAAGCACTCACCGACTCCACCCTGATGCCAAGGTTCGTGCCTTCCTCCTCCTCCTCCTCTTCCTCCTCACTCTCACTCTCCTCCAAAACTGCCCCAAGAAAAGAACCGTTTTGGACCATTTTGGAGTAGTGGAGGGACCCATAGCCCTGCTCAGAGACTCCAGCTTGTAGCCACCTACCTTCCTCCATGGCCATTTCCTCCTCCTCCTCCTCCTCCTCCTCCCAGGCATCTTGTCCTGGCCACTGAGCAGGGAGGGCCTCGGGTGCTGCTTGGAGCCACAGACGAGCTGGCTTTGGTGGTGGCTCAGGCTCTGCTTCACTGGTGAGGTTCAGCGTGGACAGCTTGAGCTTCTCCAGTGGTGTGAGGACGATCTTCCTCCTGCTGCCAGCCTCCTCACCCTCCTCTGCCACCCGTCTGGGCTCCACGCTGGGACCCTCATCCTCTCTCACATCCTGCTTGGGCTGTGCCAGCAGCTGCTCCTGCTGCTCCATGTCACCAGCATCATCCACAGCGTCCTCCACTGCCCCTCGCTCTTCCTCTAGCCGTGGCGTTGCTGGTGGGGGCTGCAGGGGACCTGGTGGTACACCGTCCTTGGGGGACACACATGGGCTCCCAGCATCCGAGGCCATGCAAGCAGCATCCTACAGCAGAGGGGTCACGCAGCACAGGAGCATCCCCCTCCACCCCCCTCCACCTTTCCCCTTTTCCATGGGGATTTACAGCAACTTACCCCGTCAGGCAGCACCGGGGGCTCATCCTGGGCCGGATCCATGCCGGTTGGATTGGGGTAATGAAGCGAGCAGTAAAAATGACCTGGAGGGGGGGGAACCCCAAACCCATGCGATGACCTGGCTGCTGGAGAAGCCTTCCCCTGAGCATCCCCTCTCCGCCGCCCCCTCACCGTGCTGCTCATCGCAGGCGTAGTCGCCCAGGCGCAGGGTGGCCCCGCACTGCCGGCACTGGAAGCACCCGCGGTGGAAGAAGCGTCCCTCGGCGCTGGCTCGCTCCAGGATGTAGACGCGGCGGCCGCAGAAGTAGCAGGCGTCGCTGCTGTCCCCGCGGGCGGCCGCTGGCTGCGGGCACACAGGACAGGCTGCGGGGGCACTGGGGGTGCTGGCGCCCACCCTGCCCCCCGGCTCTGCCCGCAGCCTAGAGGGGTTGGGGGGGGCTCTCCGCGGGGTGCTCAGGTTTGCTGGCACCAGCAAGGGAGTGGCAAAGACTTGGCTCTGGAAAACCAGTTGGGTCAGGAAAGAGGCAGGGAGGAGCCGGGAGCATGTGGGTGTTCGCTTGCACAGCTCCAGTCCCAGCCCTTGGCTCAGCCCCACCGGTGCTCCCCCAAGCGCCCACCCAACCTAAAGCTGGATCCCCCCCACCACAAGGACCAACCTGTCCTGGGTCCATGGTGGTGGTTTGTGGCGGCTCATGGGCATCATCCAGCATGTCTCCATCCAGCCCTGTGTCCAGCTAGAGCAACCCAAGGGAGGGTCAGTCCACACTGCTCCCCAGGACCACTGTGCCCTGAGGCACAGCATCCCTCTGCTGACCCACCTCAGCATCCCTGCGGCTCCTCTTGGCCTCAGCATCCTTCTGGGCACTGTCCTGCAAACAGGATAGCTAGGATGGGGAAGGGGGCATGGTTTTGGGGTGTCACAAGGGTCTGGATGGGGATCCCTCACCTGGCCACGCTTGTGTGTCAGGCTCCGGCTCTTCTGCTGCTTGCTGAGGAAGAGGATGGCTCCTCGTGTACCAAGTGGAAACAGCGACTTCTTGGTGACCTCCTCTGCCTCTGCACAGAGGGGACACAGCCATGGGACCCACCTTACAAAGCAAGGGGCACCCAGAGAGCCCCAGTGGGGCATCAGGACAGGATAAATCACCCCAAAATTCATACCTGGAGAGGTCTTGAAAGCTTCATAGAACTGGCTGAGGTAGGTGATGAGCCCCAGGCGGTTGGGCTCTGCCATGGTGGCCATCTCAATGCTGGAGAGGACAGGCTGGATGCCCAGCTCCTGTTCTGCCACGTCCAGCATCATCTGGTGGTTCCGGATGGGATCCCGGGGGTCCACAGACTCAAAGTGCCTGCAGGGAGACACGGGTGGCATCAGGGTGTGCTCTGCAGCTTGGGGGGTACCCGGTGGGGGTCCCAACACTCACACCAGGTCGGGGCGGAAGCGGTGGATGAGGGCGCAGAGGGCCAAGCCGCTGGTCCAGGAGGTGGTGAAGTTGGTCACCTCCACGCCTCGGTACCCAGCCGTGCTGGCCTGGCACCAGCTCAGCAGGTCTTCATAGGCACCTCTGGAGACCACTGGGGAGGCAGCACACGTATCCCCACCCCAAAGAGGCAGGGGGCACCCCCATCCCGCTCCGCAATCCAGCATCAGTGCTTTAGTGGGGAAGGGGTCTCATGGGAGTGACACAAGATGCCCGCCATGCAACCACACCCCCCCCCCAAGGCTCAATAAATGGGTTGACAAAGCATCTGTCAGTATTTCTTAGCTCAACACCAGTGCAGGCCAGAAGGAGACAACAACCTCCCCCCTGAACAGCAGCTGCAGCTGTGTCCCCACAGAGCACATGGGCAGGGGGAATGGAAACCAGCAGTGCCACCGGGATGGAAACGCAGCTGGTGCTGGGAGGAGCGTGGTGGGCAGGTGGACACGAGCCAGGGAAAAGAAGGATGGGGAGGAAAATCAGGACAGGAGCTGCTCTGGCTTGGGCTGCTGGGAGGAATGGGGGGTCCTGGCACTGGGGGGGCCGGGGCAGGACCAGCTGCTCCTACCAGTGCTGAGTCTGTT